CAGGTGTCGTGTGTCATCAGTCTTAACAGATTCAGCAGAGACGAACCAAACGAGTCAAAGTTGGTGTGTCCGTAATCTGGATTAGTGCTGGTCTTTAGACAGATGTAACCATGGGGACAGACCCTGAACACATCATGTGAGATTAAACACGTTATGAGATGGTTTGGGATGGAACCTCTGGAGAGAGATTGAAATTGAGAACCACGGCCTGATAGTTTATGAGACTCAATCAATTAAAAGCCCTGCAGGTAGAATATCAGGCAGACATGAGGATACCTTCAAGTGAGACACTATATTTAACATCAGTAAGAGTAGAACAGGAGGTAGAACCTCCAGCTACTAGGCTCCTCTCCTGTGGAACCAGCTCCCACTCTGGGTTCTAGAGTCAGACACCATCTCAGCATTTAAAGTTAAAGTTATATGTTCCTCTATGATAAAGTCTATAGTTCTGGATCAGGTCCTGAACCATCACTTAGTTATGCTGCTGTAGGTCTAGACTGCAGGGGGAACTCCCATCATGCACTGAGGGAGAATGCCCATCATGCACTGAGCACTTCCCTCTCTCTCTCTTTTACTCCTCCCTCTCCTCACCCTTCAGTCAAGGCAGATCATGTCTCCACGTTGACTCTGGTTCTTTCTAGTTAAGGACATTTTTAGGTCTTGACGTTCTGTGTGAAGAGCCTTGAGATTAGGTATATTATGATTTGATGCTATGCAAATAAAACTGAATTGAACATTTATTTTAAACTGGGATGAAGTGACCAAGGGCAATCGACATCAATGAAGTGTGTCATGGTGTTTATTGACCCACATGGACTCAACAGTTATATAATTTGTGATTTATTCATTTATCAGCTGTCCTGCAGTTGAACTTCCTTCACAGCCAAGTAGTGAAGCTGAAGACGATTTTCTTAACCCCCCCTCCTTCTCTCTCATTTATCCACTGTTACGGTTCACCTTTTATTTAGTCTGATGAGGAGCAATGATCTTTGAAGAGGTCGACAAAGTCATTGACATGTTTTCAGAGTTTCTACATGAAACTGACTGCACAAGTAAAACTCATCATGTCTGAGCACAGTTCTGAGTTGATGGTAACAGTTCAAAGATTGAAAATATCACATTGACTCCCAATTTGACCTCAGGGGCGCCAAACTAACATGAGCAGTGGACCATTGAGCTGAAATGATCAAATCTCAAATGAAGAAAACACGGGGCAGATGTTTGATTATATTTGAATTTCTTACAATATAGTCAACGTACCCAGCATTAGATGTGTTTCCACACTGCAGAGGATCAGATTGACCAGAGAGATAGAAGTGATTCACTGTGAAACAAACAGACAGACAGACACGCATACAGACAAAGAAAAAGGTCCAGTCACATCCACTATCCAGTGATATGTAGGGCTCAGTACAGGGTTAGGGTTATAGTTACATGTTACTTGTCAGTTCTGATAAACTCGTCTATGACATCATCATCATACCTTTACTGTTGATGAACTTGTGGAAATCAAAGTCACTACTTCCCCCTTCATAGTTATCGTAATTGCTGAGGTCATTGTAGGTCCAGTTGCTATGCGACCACTCCAGGACACATTTATGTTTCAGAGCTCCCATGAAGAGGTTCTGACCAATCACAGCCAAGACACTTAAGACAAACACCGTCATGATGATGACACCAGCCAGTCTCTTCACTGATTGGACGAGAGCTCCGGCAGATGACTTCACACCTGGAGGTGTTGATAGTTTAAACACACACACACGTTTGTACTTTATATCTTAGTGAGGACAATCATTGGAATAAAACATTGCCTAACCCTAACCCAAACCTAACCATCACAACTAAATATCTAACCCTAACCTAACCCTAACCTTAACCTAAACCTAACCTTAACCCTCACAACTAAATATCTAACCTTAACCTAACCCTAACAATAACCTAACCCTAACCTTAACCCT